CGGAATTCGATTTCCTGCGGTGGACACAGGCCCCTCAATGGCATAGCGGTATATGCATGCGGACTTACAACACTAGAAACCGAGTTTCGATACCCGTGGTGGGCAGAGTACGGACAACCCCTTGTGTAGCTTTGTGCTTAAACTACAAACAAACGAATAGCGATAAGCATATCCTGATTTATATTTATAGTGACTTTAACGAAAATTCATTTCACTTTACCACGTTCATGAGTGATTATGTTTTTAAGTTTGAATTCGCCAAAAAATGAATTCACAGAAACAGAAGACTGCCTGTTACTGACTGATTACACGGAGTGCGGGTTCGAATCCCCGTCACACCAAACATACTCGCCCTTCCAGCCGTGGGGGCATTATAATGTGACGGTCAATCCCACTATTTGGTGAAAGAATAGACTAAGAGTTGGCGGAGGGTGATGTTGTACTTCCCTGTAACCTATCACTGCTAAATTATGGACGGCTAACGCAGATAGCCTTCATGTATCTTTGTGCGAAATTCAAACGAATGTTTTTATTTGTTTTATCCTGGTTTGTGAAGTAATGTATTCCGTGAGATTATTTGAATTAGCACAAATGCAAATAACACAATTTCGTTGTATGTTGACGAAACAACTCTTTGGCTTATAATAATAACCAGTCTTCGTGTTTACACGCACGTACGCAGAGAGGGGGGTTCGCCCCCCATTATTGTGATGTAAAAAAATTTTACTTATATAGTTATAGCGCACCTGCATATGGTATGTAACATTTTTTCTACGTAGTCTATATGTCTATATTCTTCTGATGAGGCATTAGCATTTATGGCTTGAAATAGTCGCATGCAATGGCTTCTGTTGACACTTTGTAATTGGAATCCCGAAGCCGTATTGCTAATGTCAGGTTTTGTAGGCCGGATTCCTTACAGTAGGTATCTGTGACTTGTTGGCGATAAATTTATTAGCTTTCTTGAGCTACAGAGGGTCAGAGCAACAGATATTTTTATGTAAATCATGTAAATCAAGCACCATCAATTCAGAAACACATGTCATTAAAACTCACACAAGAGTTTTCTATCTCTGATATAAAACAATCCATACATTTTTACAGGGAAGATTTGACAAATCCTGATATTTTTGATGAAGAAGTTGGCTTTCTATATCTCTCCAGGACAGGCTCCAGATACTGGCTGACTGCTTAAAAACGTGCTTCAGTGTACCAAGTATCCTTATGTTACTGAAACTATTTGCCACATTGCCACTAAGTTCATGTTCATGTGAACGTTCGGAATCTGCTCTCCGCCGGTTGAATTACCTGAGATGTATACAAACCGAAGAAATACTGAATGCTCTAGCTTTAATACATAATCATTATGACACTACTATCAACATTGAAACTGTATGTTAGTTATTTATGGAAAAGCACCCCAGAAAAATAGAGTATGCTAACATGTTATTTCAGTAGTGCATTAATTGTCATAGCTAATATACTATTGTTGTGCAGAGTTGTTTAAATTAGTAATATTACGTATCTGCTCGTTTGTTAATTTCCGGTATAAATTCTTTCCAAGGAACTTCAACGATAAAAGTCCTTTCTTAATTAAAACTAGTTTATTATTTCTTG